CAAAGAGCCCCACTAGATGTGTGGTGGGGGGGGGGGGGGGGAGAGGGGGTACCAATGAAGAGAAATCTGAACAAGGAGGAAAGCAAAAGGTGGTTATGAGATGATTGCTGTGTTTTTAGTGTTTTTCTCCCCACAGTTTGCTAAAAGCCCACTTTTTCATACTTGTTGCTCATTAAAGTGTTTTTTTGGTTTCTCTTGGCAGCCTGAGAATATCCTGTGTGTGAACCGAGCAGCAAATCAAATAAAAATTATTGATTTTGGATTGGCAAGAAGGTACGTGCATGTGTTCTTGCTAATCATAAATGAATTAGGAAACAATGAAAATTACATCTCTACAATGACATATTAGATACATAACAGTCTCCTACCGTTCTTCAAACAAACATAATGTGGCTCTTTTAACCAAGGATATTTTAATAAAGAATGTTTGGAGCTGAGTAAAAAAGATTTGTTCTGAAGCCTTTTTTCAGGTAGATGGTTGAAAGAGGGCTGATTCTGACTGAGCATGCACATAAGTAGATTGGAACAGCTAAAATGGACAAAATCAGTGGTACATCTTGTCTGGTCTCTTGTCTCTGATGTTACGAGATTCTTCAAAAGACAGTGTAAGAGACCATCAAGGGCTGTTACAATATATCCCATGCTATATCACTTTCTAGTTTAATTGGGTACCATAACCTCAGTGAAGGATTTACTGGTTAAAAATTCCATACCTATGTTATGGAGAAGTCCCAAAAGGATGATAACTCTGAGGAGTCCTTGAAGTCTGAATGTCTTCCTTTGTACAGCAGTTGGGTTTTGTCCTGAAGTATTATATAAAGCTTGCAAACATTTTTCATTCTATATATGGGTATATTTATTTTTACTTTGTACCTCTGTCTGTTCTTGTTTTCCTACTGAATCTCCTGTATGCTTCTGAAATCCCTCTAAGTGCTAAACAACTTACAACTTTAATTAGAGCTATAATTGATGTTCTCTGTTACTGTTTCCATTTCCTAGATATAAACCCAGGGAAAAACTTCGAGTTAACTTTGGGACTCCAGAATTTCTTGCTCCTGAAATTGTGAATTATGAGTTTGTCTCCTTTCCTACAGACATGTGGAGCGTAGGAGTCATCGCTTATATGCTGTAAGTAGGATTCAGTCTCTGCTTTGTAAGCTGTTTCTATGTCGAACTGTGTCAGTCATCCAAATTTGTTGTTATGCTGGAAGATTGACAAAATCTGTACCCAAAATAGAAAATGTAGGCTTCTTTCCAAATTCCATATTCAGTAATCTCTCCCCTTTTCAAATCACCATGAACTTTTCTTCTTTGTTTCACTGCACATTACTCATGAGTGTCTGAGCATCACACTTCTAGAATAATGTAGACTGCTTGGTAAGCTCCCAGTAGGTATGTGCAAGAGTGGTCAGAGGTCTAGAAAATATGACCTACCATGAAAGACAGTAATGCTTCATTTCTTAGGGAAGAAGGGGGATTATTTAAACATGTAAATAGAAGAAAGAATGGGAATGGTCTGGAGACTTTCTTAGACAATAACATGTTGCAAATTAGTCCAGGAGTAACAGAACAATCATAGGTGGCACACTGGAGATCGTGTGCAGGAAGGGGAAAAGACAGGAGGATTGAACATTTTTTTTTTCCTTTAGCCTTAGTGGATTGTCTCCTTTTTTGGGTGATGATGACAATGAGACCCTCAACAATATCCTCTCCTGTAGCTGGGAGTTTGAAGATGAGGAATTTCATGGTGTTTCTGATGAAGCCAAAGATTTCATCTCAAAGCTTCTCATCAAGGAAAAATGGTATATAATCCCTGCATCTTTGAAATGTGTGTTCCATGCCATTATGTCACAGTTGTGTCACTTGTACTGCTCCATTGCAGACTATCATGACTTATCAAAGTGGTTTATGTCCACGTAGAATATTATAATGCCATTTCATTGATGTTGTTCATTATGTCCATAAAATGATCTGAAGTTACCTGAATGCATTTTTGCTGTGAAACCAAACTTAACTTTATGGATTAGCTGCCATCTGGCATGCTGTCTTGAAATGACAGCATTGCATGATGGCAGAACACATGACCTGTAGGAGATAACTGTCGAATGATAAGATTCTAGGAAAAACACTTAATAGCATTCTGGTTTTCCTTTAGCTGGAGAATAAGTGCAACTGCTGCCTTAAAACACCCATGGTTATCAGACCACAAGCTCCACTGCAGACTCCAGGTCCCTAAATTTAAATATCCTTGTGCATTGTAGATATGCTGTTGCCTTCTTGTGCTGCCACATCACTATTTGCTTTGACATTTTTCTTACCTGTTTTTGAGTCCTTCTTGCTGCTGTATTTCTTGCCGCTGTGAGCCACATGTGTCCCTTTGCTTTTATTTAGCTGTTATAATTTGCATGCTCACACTTGCTCATCAGTTCTTGCATGTCTGGGAAGAAATACATGGTCATGCAGTTGCTGTGTGTTGTGGAGTGGATCCATTTCTTAGCAAAATGAGACTATTTACAAAATGAGCACTGAATTACCTTGTGAAAAGAGTTTTCCAGCTGGGGATGGTTCTGTTTCCTGCTTTGAAAACCGTTTCAGGCTCTCCTGAAGCCCCCTGTGAGTGCTGTTAGATTTCATCCTACCTCTTCCCAAGGGATACCTTTATCAACAGACCCTGGAACCTCAGCCAGGGCACACCTTTGTATTTAAGCACCTTCTTGCCCTTCAAGGGTAGCCAGCTTAGTGGCCAACGCAAAAAAAGCAGTTATTTGTTCACACAAACAATTCCACTGGGCTGAGTTGGAGGATGAACAAGATTTTAAATCATTTTGAATATTCCTCTGTTAAGTAGTTTGGGAGATTCACACTGTTGATGAGCTTGCTGTTGGCTGAATCTAAGTGAGTCCACTCTGTGGTTCAGTGGTTCATGAGGGGACCATTTTAAGCAGGTTTCAGAATTTTTACAGCATTTGAAGTGCAATATTCACTTCCTCCTTTGCAGGCAAAGCACATCTATGTTAATTAAAATGATTGCTGTATTTCCTAGGATGTATATGTCAAGGTGCCTTTTGAACTACAGTCATCATTAAGAATTAAGAGACCATATTATTAATTATTTAAAAATCTTATTAAAATAGAAACATAGAATCATAGAATAGTTTGGGTTGGAAGGGACCTTTAAAGGTCATCTAGTCCAACCCCCCTGCGATGAGCAGGGACATCTTCAACTAGATCAGGCTGCTCAGAGCCCCGTCCAAACTGGTCTTGAGTGTTTCCAGGGATGGGGTCTCCACTACCTCTCTGGGCAACCTGTGCCAGTGTTTCACCACCCTAATTGCAAAAAACCTCTCTTCTTCATATCTAGTCTAAATCTATCCTCTTTTAGTTTAAAACCAAGCAAAGGTGATGATGATAAGAAAGCAGTAGTAGCTCTGCTGATGAGATGGTGTGAGTTCTGGGCAGGATGGACTGAGTAGTGTCCTGACAGCTTTGTCCTTGCAAGATGTTCCTGTTATACAGAGTAAAGATAAGAAGTAGTAGTATAAAATGCGAAATAATAACAGTCAAATAAATTATTTTAATTTTCATTGAAATTGAGTTTTCATGATAATCTCCCAGAACAGCAATGTCCATGAGATCATCAGAAGATTTACAAGTGTGCATACACAGTAAAAATAAGAGTTTGTCAGAGGTAAGTATCTCTTTAGAGGGTTTCATAGGATAGAATTTGACTCCTTCAATTGGGCTCCAGTGAAGCTCTGATTCTGCAACCTGGGGAACAGGCTGTCTTTTCCAAATGCTACAAGAACATGGGCTGCTTACCTGCTGTGCTTCTTCCTATCACCAATTTTCTTCTGGGGAAACCCTACCCTAATAGAAACCTTACATCTCATGTCGTCCTTTGTAGCTCTTCCCCAGTATTTTTTGTTCATACTTCTTGTGCTTTACAAAAATAGCCTCACTAAACATGCTGATGTTGCAGTGTTCTGCCATTACCTTAACTGGAGGTAAGATGTGATTGATCTTCAATTAATGCTCCAATAATGTCATCTTTCTTTCTTTTTTTGTTTTTCTTTTCCTCTAGAAGAAGACTAAAGGTGTGTCCCAAGTACCCCCCATTCAGTAACCTCTCTGAAAGAGCTGCCAGACAGAAGGTTTGTTTCAGGTCTCAAGTGTTTCTTCAGACATAAGTGTTGTAGCCCCTGTGGAAGGGATCAGTGGGCAGCCAAAAACCTTGCATAGTCCAAAGTGCGTGATCCAAACTATATTCACCACCACCATCCCTGCTGTTGTTTGGAAAGCATTCAAAATATAAACCGGTCCTATCACTTATACCAAGTCACAGCAGTGTGAAAAAAAAGTCATATATATGAAGCCATATGTGCTGCAAACCCTGGCCAATTTAGAAGGAATAGTTACGCTCCCACTGGCTCTCATGGGGCAGGATTTCACCCAATAATTTTTCAGTGTTGAAAGCTTTCAGGTTTTCATGCTGTGGTTAGGAGTATGGTTTAAAAAGGGTAGAAGTATGAGAAGTAATTACTTTTTAGCAAAGGCATGGGCCAGACCCTCACGGCAGCTCCACTAACTGTAGTGAAATGAAAGTAAGGTGTTCCCTAAAAGAAGCTGCTCCACACTTTTGAGGACCCAGTTCTGACAGGGCACTTCTCTGCCCTTTTAGCCTGTAGCAACCCAAACAATTTTGACAGACCATCTCTCTCCTTTTTTTCCTGGCTCCCTGTCTTTGCCCTTTCATTAACAAACACTTCATTAGTGGTTCTCAGGCTGGCTTGGTTGCCTTCCCCAGGGATCAGGGAGACTCAAGACTGCTCTCATGTTCTGTCTCTGGTCTTTGACCAAAGTATACTCACTCAGCCACTTTGAAATCAGGCTACCTCAAGGCGGTACAGTATCTCCATAAACCAGTACACCAATTCCCACAGCCCCTTTTACCATCTACCACAGAAATTGGTGCCTCTGTTGAAGGACCATGGGAACTACTCAAAGGTTCTGGGGGCATCTCTGGGCAAAACTCAGTGGAGGGTCAAGAAGTGAATGAGGCTGAGAACACACACACTGTAAAAACACTTCCCTTTAGTCATATGTCATGAGTAACCACCAGGATGCCAAAATAAAAACAGTAGGGCAAGTGATGTACTGGGTTTTGTTTGCAACATGTTTTGTCCAGAAACATGCAAAAAAGAGGGTATTATGAGAGGTTAATGTTTTTGTTCTGACTAAGTAAAATGAGAACAGATTTTATACAGTGTAGTGTAGTAACACAGAAGTTGATGATCTTTAAATGAACTATCTTGGGGACTTGAAGCTGCCTTTCTATGGTACACTGGAGGTCAGTGATGGCTAAGGTACTATTATTATATCCTACTTGCTCCCTGAATCCACATAACTTCCTGATAGGTAATGTCTCAGCATCAACTTCTGTAGGGGAATCCAGTGGGAATGAATACCTCTTTGTGATCCTCCACATTCATCCCCACTGATGCTGGGACAGGTTACATGAAGCTTTTGTCCATTCACCTGCGTGCTTCTATGTAGTAGTTTCTAAACAGGTTTTCCGGACCAGTTACAGGACTAGTGTTTTTATCCATGTTTCCCATTTCAAGCCACTAACTGCACAACAAAATGGTGAAAACTCTCCCTCTCTAATGCAGGAAGCACTGTATTACACAATTTTCTATTACAACCAAAATCAACTTCGAGATAAATTGACTGTCCAACAGCAGTCAAAATTATTTTTAAATAAACTTTTTATAGCTTTGTAACATAGTAACCTACCCATGATCTAACCTGCAGGAAAACCTGGGTTTGGCTTTTGCAATGTTATTTCCTCTGCGTGTGTTTTTCTTTTTGGAGTTTATTTGAGTTTACTTAATGAGTGGATCTAAAGTCATAGCAGTGCTTTGTTTTTAAAGAATCCCTTCAGCTATTTTTATCAGGCAAGTAGTATGGTTACCACATTTAACCCAAAATAATACACTCAAGTGCCAGTTGATTTAGACCTGGCTTTATAAATGTTTGCAGTGGTAACACAAATAAATGGAGAGGTTTGCAGCATGCCTTTTCATGCTGTGATCTGTATGACAAGAGAGGCAAAAAAGCAGAGTAGCTGCATTTCAATAGAGACCTCCAGGACCATTTCTCCACTTAACAAAGAGGCCTTGTCTTTTTAATATTGTATAAAAAATGCCACAAATAAGGTGGCTGCAAGAACCCTTTGTAAGCAAGAAGCTTCAGTGCTGCTTTCTTTTCCTTATGCACAAAGAAACCACCCTGTGGTTGTCCTAGAACACTTAACCAAATAAAAAAGTATACTGCTGAATTAACTGGATTCTTGTTTTGTTTATTTTGCAGAAAAGCTGCTGTGTGGTTACTGCTGCTAAGAGATTTGAAAATATCAGCAGTCTTGGTGCTTTACTCCCCTGCCGTGACCGAGACTTCGACTAAATGGACCAACAGCACTTTAGCTGCAGGACAAGACCCAGCATTGCTGAGCTGCTTCTTCTCTATTCAGCTTTTGAAAGAAGGAAAGTATTTCTCCAGGTTGCAGGAAGGTGTTCCTTCCAGAGCATCATGTTCTCCATGTCTGGGAGTGCCACATTAGCTTGGATTCATAATGAACTTTTCTCTATCTTGTCTTACATCCTCATTTACTTATCAAAGGTTCCTTAAGGTTCAGATTATCACATTAAATTGACTCTTTCTCATCTCAGCCGAGAAGTTAGTCTGTCACTGTGTTATATCTGTAGCCAAGGTTGATTTGACACTGGAGTCAAATAATTTAAAAAAAAAAAAAAAAGAAAAATTGCAGCCAATTTAAAGCTGCCTTATGTAGAAGATCTGAAGTTTGTTTTTCCTGTCATACTAAAATGAGCTAAGGATTAGCTCAACCAAAGTTAAAGCCATGTTAATGTAACAACAGTGGAAGTGAGAAATGAGGCTTTCCTTGCACATAGGTGAATTTGCTGCAACCGTGATATGATACATTTTAGGATTTTTTTAGCCTGATGAATTACTGTTCGCTTTAAATACACTTGGATTAATTAAAGAAGAAAGAAAACAAGGCACTATTCACTTGTACACATGCAAACTCTGTTCTCCAATATGCAAGTATAATTCAGAGTTATTTTAACAGAGGGTGATTTTACAGCAGCTAATTTGTTTAATGCTAATAGGACTGATTAAGACCATTGGCAAAGAGGAGAGTCAGTCC